CAGAACCTCTGAGCTAAAACCCAGGCCCTTGTCTTGTCTTTTTAAAAAAACTTTTTTTTTTTGGTACTGGGGATTGAACTCAGGTCCTTGTGCTTGCGCAGCAGGCGGCGAAACCACTGAGCTAAATCCCCGGCCCCTAAAAAAACTTTTTGAAGTGAAACACAGAAGAGTAATAAAATGGGAAGATAATTATTTCAATAGCATTTTCTTCTTTGGTATTTGGAAATATTTTATTGACAAATTATCAAATAAATCCTGTTGTCAAAGTACCTATAACTTCTTTAAATTATTGATAAATCCAGTTAAGACTCCTTAGAAATAAATGTCTGAGTAATGACAAATACTTTAGTTTTAAAGATGGCCATTTAAAAGGGATGTACTAAACATGGTAATTTGGAAGTTATGCTTGAATAGGGAGAGGGAATTACCTTTGCATTTGGCAAATTTGAATAATCAAACTCAGATTTTCACCTTTCTAGATAATTTGCCTCATACAGGCACTTCTGTCATTTTAGAATCCCCCTTCCTATGGAACTGAAAAAATACATTGGGATTTGTAATCTGAAACATTGGCCCAAGAAACACAGGAATCAGAAGATAGGGTGATGATGATCCTGCTTTTAATGTAATTAATATTTGCTGGTCAAGAGAAATACCATCCAGAAAACTTTTTAGACCATGCCCTAATATCCTAGTTTTCAAAATAAAAATGTGTTCTTCAGCCATTATGAAAGTACTTTGATACAGTTTTCTTAAGTTACATATAGAAGATATATTAGAAAAAGGAAAATTAGACTGGGCTTGGTGTTGCACACCTGTAATCCCAGCACTTGGGAGGTTGAGGCAGGAGAATCGCTGTAAGTTCAAGATCAGCCTGGACTACATAAGGAGATCCTGTCTCAAAAAACCCCCAAAAAACAAAAAAGAGAAATTAGGAGTCAGTTAGTATTCTCTTGGGGGAGAGACAGACGATTCCTTATTACAGGAAACGTGTAATTGCTTCATTCCTCTATTTCAAAAAGCCTTTTTTTCTTTTATGTTTTAATTTTAGAGGATATAATCACTTTTCTTAACATTTCCCCCATATTTTTCTAGAGTATTTTAATTATGTATACATGGAAGATTGGTATCCATAGGATTTTTTTTTTCCCAGGATCCTAGAGAACACTGAGATTTGTGGATACCCAAGTTCCTTATATAAAGGGACATAGTGTTTCGTTATACCTGCACATGTCCCCTTGTGTATGATTTTTTTACTGTAAATCATCTTTAGGTTACTTACACCTACTATAGTATAAATGTTTTGAAAATAATTGTAGTACTGTAATTTTGGGGAGTAACAAGAAAAAAGTACTGTAATTTGGGGGGAATATACTACATGTTCATTACAGTTGTTTTTCTGAATATTGTTGACTCTTGGTCCCTCAAATCTATGGATGTAGAACCTGCACATATTGAGGGCTGTGTTTATTTCAGATTTTTATCAGAGATCCAGTTTCTCTGTATCTTTCAAACTTACTGCTTTTTTAGTTTAGCTCTTCAAATAGGTATAGAATGATATCCCGTTCTGGTCTTAATTTGCATTTTTCTAATAGCTAATGATATTCAGCATCTTTTTATATGTTGAATTATGATAATTATCTTATTTGTGAAATGTCCATGTTTTTAGGTCATTTTCTAATTAGATTTATTATTATTATTATTTTACTGTTGAGTTTTAAGAGTTCATTATATATTTTAGATACTAGTCCTTTGTCAGATGAATGGTTTGTAAACATTTTTTCAATCTGTAGCTTATGTTTTTGTATTCTTAGTGTCTTGCACATCAGAAGTTTTAAATTTTAGTGAAATATTCATTTTGTCAAATTTTTTTCTTTTATGAATTTGCTTTTGGAATCACATCTAAGAACACTTCCCCAAACCTAGGTCCTAAAGATTTTTTTTATGTTTTCTTTTAAAAGTTTTGCAGTTTTAGTTTTTACATTTAAATCTGATCCAATTAGTAATTTTTTATATAAAGTATGAGGTGTAGGTTGAGGTTTATTTTTTTGTATTTGTTAAAATTACCGTCTTTATTGAATTGCTTTTGCACTTTCGTTAAAAATCAGTTGACTGTGTGAGAATTCTAATTTATTTTACTTCTTTGTGTGTCTCTTCTGGTATTATATAATCTTGATTACTGTAGTTATAGAGTAAATCATAAGATCTGGGAATGGGACTCCTACTTTGTTCTGTTTTGAAGTGGGATTTTTCTTTGTAATTTTCTTGCTTCTGTTTGCTGTGGCTTTATTTGGCTCTTTGTCTGGGTTATTGATTGGAGGGGGTTAGATTATTGGCTTGAAACATTTTCTATTTGCTGCTGTGTTTATATAGTGCTATAAATCTCCCTCCCAGTACTGTTTTAGCTGTGTCCCACAGATTTTGATATGTTATATTTACTTTTTATTTAATTCAGTGTATCTTTTGGTTTCTCTTTCTCTGGGTTACTTAGAAGCATGTTGTTTAGTTTTTGCATGTTTGGAGATTTTCCTGTTACTTTTCTGTTGTTGATTTCTGTTGTCCTCAGAGAAAATACTTTGCACAATTTCAGTTCCTTAAATTTGTTTGGATTTGTTTTGTGGCCCAGGATATAGTCTCTCTTGGTAAATGTTTACTAGGCATTTGAAAATAATGTGTTCTGCTGTCATTGGTAGAGTCTTCTATAAATATTTATTGGATCTTATTGATTGATGTTATTATTACATTCTGTTGTATTCTTGCTAATTTTTTTTTAGATGTATCATTTATTGAGGAGACTTGTACTAGGATTTGCCTGTTTTTTATTTCAGCTCTACAGTTTTTGCTGCATATATTTTAACAGCTTTGTTGATTAGTGTACTCACACTTATTTCTGTCATGTTTGTAGATTGACTGTTTCATCATTATGTAATGTCCCTCCCTATTCCTGCTAATTTTCTTTGATATGAAGTCTTCTTTATCGATATTAGTATAGTTACTCCTCTTTCTGTTGTTTCCGTGATACAACTTTTTCTGTCCTTCTGCTTTCTACTTGGCTGTATTATATTTGAGGAATTGCTTTGTTTGTTTGATTGTTTTTTGAGACAGAGTCTTGCTATGTAGTTCAGGCTAGCCTTGAACTCGCTCAGTAGCCCAGGCTGACTTCCAACTCACAGTGATCCTTCTGCCTCAGTTTCCCCCGAGTGGTCAGGTTACAGGCATGTGCCATCATGCCGGGTGAGGAATTGCTTTTATACTTTTGTTTAATTTCAGTGTTTATCGACATGAAGTCATGAGAGTCAACTCCAACTATGAATAGCATCTATTTGAAATGCTATTTTTTATTACTATTTTGTTTACTCCATTTTCATATTGTCTACTTATTACTTATATTCAAAAACCCCAAATACTTGTGTTTCTTCCTAGTTTTATTTCTTTTATATATTGTCTATAAGGCAGAGTTTTATAGATTTTAAACCTGGAATCATAGAATGCCTAAAATATTTTTGGCTATTTTTCTCCAACGTGAATGTTAATTTTCTGAGTGTAAAAGTCTGTGTTTCATATATTTTCTGTCAGATCTTTGAAGTTACAGCTTTATTGTCATTCAGCATCTGGTAGTGATGTCAGTCTGAGTTTTATAGTTTTCCTCATCTCAGGTTAAAATTTCAGAAGCAAGGGTTGTTATCCTTAAGTTTTCTATTTTTTTATTTTATTAAGAATAATAATACTGTTAGGATTACGTTGAGTTTAACGATAGTTAAAATGAAGGCTGTTCTATTTTTTTAAAAAAGAAGCCTCCTATGGTTTCCCAAAATCTTGTGTGGAAAAAAGGAATGTCCTGCCAAAGTTAATCTCTCCTGTTTAATTCAGCAGTGTTTTTAAATACCTGCATCAGGAGTAACATCCAACTTCCTGAGATGGCAGATCTCTCTCTATTTTGGCTACATTTAAGTTTATATATTTTAAATTAGAATTTGACTTCCTGAAAAAATTGTGTATTACGTCTTCTCAGACAAGATCTGGTGCATTCCGGGTAGTATGGCCATAGACTGTATTAAGTCTTCTCAATGGAACAATTCAAAATAAAGCCCCTTTTTCAAGGCAGTTTGTAATTTTAGATGATGAGCTACATATCTCTTTCATACCTACAATTCTTATCCTGATGTTTCAAAATTCCAAACTGTTTTCTGCCTAAATAATAAGTTTAATTAAAAACATATAATAATTTTCAAACTACATTGTATCTTCCACTATCCATTTATTTAGTGAAAAAACTTTTTTTTTTTAAACTTAGATTTTGTGTGGACAGTAATGACCTCACGTTTCCGATTGCCTGCTGGCAGAACCTACAATGTACGAGCATCAGAGTTGGCCAGAGACAGACAGCATACAGAGGTGGTTTGCAACATCTTTCTTCTGGATAACACTGTCCAAGCTTTCAATATTAATGTAAGTATTTTATCTCCTTCTCCTCCACATCTTATCTTCATTGTCGTCATCATCATCATCATCACCCCCATCATCATTTACTCTGGTTATATTTTGAATTTATATTTTAAATCTAGAACCATTAAATTATGGTCAGTTGGAAATGTCTTATTCAATTAAAAGTCTTTGATGTAGGTTTGTATTAGATACATATGTCACTGGTTAGGGTGGGTCCTTACTTTACTGATAATGGAAACTAAAATGACAGTATGAATGTACAGGAAAAATCTTTAATTGGAAAAAGAAAAGATAGGGGAAGGACCCCAGCTTGAGTAGTAGCTGGAGAGGGCATACACTGATGAAGAGAATCAGACTGAGGGCTGGGGATTTAACTCAGTGGTGCCGAGCCTGCCTCGCAAGTGCAGTCCTGAGTTTGATCCTCAGTACAAAAAAAAAAGTGAGAGGATCAGACTGGGAATTGAATTTAAGGCTTAGCTGAGGTGGCCCAAGGTCTGGTCAATCATCTCAGTTTTGGTCTGCTATCTCAGATTGAATTCTTGTGACTAGAGGGACAATTCAGTTTCCATGGGAAGAATCCTCATGACTTGAGGGGCAGTCATACAAGGTTTTTCCTGAATCCAAAGTCATAATGAATGTCCCTGTAAATCTCTCTATCCTGGTGTCTTCAGTCTTGAAAAGTAATGAATTTAGGTGTAATAAATTTGTTTTGCCAACTTTTAGACAGATACTCCCCAAATGACTAACATGCATATGTGCAGAGCTGAGAAGGATTTGACTCAGTTTTACAAAATGAACGTCAAGTTTTCTTCTGCTTTGTTACTTGTTTTAACCTATCTGTAGGCCCAAGTGAAGAGTTACGGTTTTTAGCAAAAACTTCTTTTTAAGTCTCTTACTGCCGCAGAAGAAAACACAAATCATGGTTTTGATGAGTAAGGGCCCTGTGGTAGTCTCTGGCTGTGTCAAAACTGTTACATATTTTTATTCAAAGTAGATCTTTTTAAAGTGTTGCCCACTTGGACACTGTTGACAAACCAGCAATGCATTATGATTAGTAGAGCAGGTAAATAGTTATGTGGATGGCTTTTGTAAATGCTGCTTGAAAGTGCCTGAAAGGAATTTGCTCTCTAAATAATTTATACATTTCCATTTTAATCTTACTTCTGTCTGTAAAACTTTTGCTAAACAAGGATAAATGACACCCTGATCTTATCTATGTATTGTCTGAAATGTTTATTCAACAGATATTATACATCCTATTTGTGTCTGGCTTCATTTACTCATTGTTCTTTGTGAGTTTTACCCATGAGTAGTTCATTTTCTTTGCATATGGTACTCTTTTGTATGAATATAGCACAATTTATACATTAACTTAATTTCTGTTTACTTGTTCAGCTGCTACTGGTATATGTCTGGGTTGTTTTGACTTTGGGCTCTTAAAAATAGTGTTGCTGTGAACATTCACAAGGATATATCCCTCTCCCTTTTTATTTTTAACATTTGAAACATAGAGTAAAGGAATAATGTAATGAATATCCACATGTCGTTTACTCATATTAGGCTGGTATTATCTTTTTTACATTTGTTTTATCTTACTTTCTATATAGTTTTTTTCATGAACTTTCTGAACATAGTAGACTTAACCTAGAGTACTTTAGCATCAGTAACCCCTAAATTAGTACAGTAACATTATCACACCCCCAAATGTAACATTATGAAAAGAACAGTATCTGACTCATCTGTTTTGTACTGTATTACTGGAGTGTTTTTATACTGGAATCTCTAAGTAATTTAAAATGCTAATCTTTTATTTATCAGTTGCTTCCCCCCACCCCCACCCCATACTAGGGATTGAATCCAGGGCCTTCACACTGATTTACATCCATAACCCTTTTTTAAAAATTTTTAATTTTGAGGCTATATTGCTCAGTGAGCTTGAATTTGCATTCCTCATGCTTCATTGTCCCAGAGTGTTAGGATTACAGGCATGTGCTATTGTGCCCAGTTTATTTACCGTTTCTTAAATTTAACTTTTTCAGTGTATTGTGATATAGCAGGATCACTAATTTATCTTTTTTATCTCAAATTCCAAGCCATTTTACATTGGAAAAGGAGCTTCAGAGTAGTGAAAGTTACATTAGTAAAATACCCTTGAGGAGATTATTTAACATATGCAACAATTGTGCTTTTTGAAAATGTTCAACTTTTAACTTTTTTTACATTGTCTTATATATATATATTTTTTGGCACCGGGGCTCGAACTTGGGTCCTTGCGCTTGAGCAGGAGGCAGCAAAACCACTGAGCTAAATCCCCGGCCCGCATTGTCTTATATATTAATAGATAGTTGGAATATAGGTTGTCAAGCAGAAATAATATGAAATGAAGGAAATTGTGCTTCAAAAATATTTCTGGTTAATAGAAACTCATTTATTGGATAATTGATATAAAAATGAGCCCTTTTTCCTCTTTAGAATCATTAGAATTCTTTTGGGGAGCATGAAGTTATTCTTGTTTTAAGTTAATATTATTTAATTTAGTTTTTATTTTAACTTACAGTTATTTGAAAATATTGTGAAAGGATTTGCTTTTTTCCCCATCTGTCATATTTTTTACTTAACTGTCAGTTCCAGTAGAGATGATTATATTACTAGAATAAGTACCGTGGTGCTAGAAATGTTCTCTGCTATTATCTCAGGTCATCAAAAAACTTATGTAAGAAGAAAAATATTTGTGAGAAGTTTCCTGTGGGACATGTAAGACATTTATTTCTCTGGTTATTTGGATCTATATCATTCAAAATGAGAGATGCTTTGTTGTACTTTTGTATAATCTGTGCATGTTTTAATCTATGTGAAAAGGTCCCCAGTTATGCACCTTACAACTTTGAGTGGTAGTGGCAGCCAGCAAATTCATTGGGGATTTGAGAGCTCTGATTTTGGTTTGCTCATGTTCATTTAGTACTAGTAAGTCTCAGAAATCTTCATTGTGTGCAGCTGCTAGGTTTACTAGCATCTCTCTTTTCACTCAGTTTTCTTTGAAAATGACCAAGCAGTGATTTATAACATCAGTCATAGAAGTCATTGCTTTCCAAAAGAATTTTGCAGCACAGGTGAACATGTTTTCTTTAAATACTTTAAAATGTATAGTACCCATACTGTATAGATTGATTTCTTTAACCTATGAATATTTTTCTTCTAATTTTTGGCTTTACTCTTACTTTTGGTATAATTGTTTAACAGTAACCTGTGTGACAAGGAAGGGCTGAAGAGAACCCTCCCCTGTTTGAGCTACTACTATTACTACATAGGAAATTGCTGTAAAACTTAAGCTCATAAAACAACCATTTAATATCCTCAGGGATTCACACTAGATGGCTTTTATCTCATTCATTATATGTCAGGCGTCATCATCTGAAGGCTTATTCATTGGTATGTCTAATACCTGAAACCTCAGCTGGGCCTGAAGGGACTGTTTAATGTAAGACTTCTCTATACCTTACACTTCTTCACAGTGCAGTGGCTGGTTTCCGGGGTGAGCATTTTTGGGTGGGGAGACAGGCTGTAGCTACATTGCCTTTTCTGAGCTGAACTTGGAAGTCATGTAATGTTACTTTTACCATATTGTTTGTTAAGGGTATCACAGAATCACACTCAGAATTAAGGTAAATAGCCTGTCTCTTACTAAAATGTGGAAGACTGTGTAGGATCAGAAATACTGCTATGGACTTACTGGGAAAATGCAGCCTGCCAATATGGCCCACTGATGGAAGCATCCATTTTGTCCTGACCTTGCCACATAATTGCATCTGTCTGTGTTCTACCTCCATTATAAATAGTGTTTTCCTCCTAGAGCTGTTTTTCACTTCTGTTTGCTCTATGTGTTGTTTGGATTGTTTATCTGCGTGTGTTATACTTGTAAAAATATGTATATATATGCACACATACTTTAAAATTTGATTTATTTTATATGTGTATGTATATATAAGTAATGACATGTATATACATGAGAAATTCTAGCTGCAAAAACTGAAAGAATATTCAAAATTCATGATAAAGAATTCAACATACATTATTCAGTGCACAATTCAGAGAAATTTCATACATGGAAGTATTTAAATGAGTATTTAACAGTATGGATTGAGGATTTTTTAGTTTTGTCTGCATTGCATTTTTCTTCAGTTTACTTTTTAGAAAAAAAATTATTTAAAATACTAAGGCTGTTTTTTAAAGTATTTTCTTTGTTCTGTATCTTTCTGTACTCAATAAAGGATAACTCATATATTTTTTATGATACCAATACTTCATTGTTAGTAAATGGTACAGTAAACGTCAACTATTTTTTTTTAAATAGAGTGAGATTCAAAACCTTCTATTCCAATTTTCTGTATGGTTTTTATCATAAATGTGTGTTGAACTTTGTCAAATGATTTTTCTGTGTCTATTGAAATGATCATGTAGTTTATGTCCTTGGTTCTGTTAATGTAGTGTATTACATTTATTGATTTGCATATGTTGAGCCATCCCTGCATCCCTGGGATGAATGCTACTTGGTCATGGTATGATAGTCATGGTATAATTTTCTTGATGATTTGCTGCATTCTGTTTGCTATTACCTTACTGAGAATTTTTGCATCTATGTTTATTAAGGAGATTGGCCTATAGTTCTCTTTTTTGCTTGTATCTTTCTTTGGCTTTGGTATCAAGGTAATGCTTGCTTCCAGGAAAGACTTTGGGAGTATTTCTTCCCTTTTAATTTCATTAAAGAGTTTGAGGAGTAGTGGCATTAGATCTTCTCTAAAGTTCTTATAAAATTCAGCAGTGAATCTGTCAGGACTGGGGTTTTCTTTGTTGGTAGTTTTTTTATTTTATTATTCTTCAATTTCATTAACATTGGACTATTTAGAATTTTTATATCTTCCTCATTCAGGTTTGGTAATTCGTATGTGTCTAGGAATCTGTCCATTTTTTCTGAATTTTCTGTCTTATTAGAGTACAGGTTCTCA